TGTGTGTGTGTGTGTGTGTGTGTGTGTGTGTGTGTGTGTGTGTGTAGTTAAAAGTAGGTTTCTGGGCTAATGGTGTGTAGCTCAGCAGCAGAACACTTGGATGACATCTGAGGCCCTGGTTTCAATCCCCAGAATCTTAAGAAAATAGTAACTAGCATAGGAATGGGAGCAAAGAGCACTTACTGCTCTTGCGGTTTCTAGCACCCATGTGTTAACTCACAATCATCTGTAGCTGCATTCCACAGGATTTGATATTCTCCTCTGGTCTCTGCATGCACTTTACACATTTGATGCACATGCATACATGCAGGCAAAGTACTCATACACATAAAGTAATAATCTTAATGTTTAAGTATGCTTTTGATAGACAGGCATGAGTCTTTTGATAGATAGGAACCATATAATTCATTCATTTGACCGATGGAATACAGTGATGATAATAGATGTATCAGAGTGCTTTTGTTGTTGTTATTTCTCAAGACAGTTTCTCTGTAGCCTGGACTATCCTGACCTTGCCTTGTAGATCAGGCTTGTTTCAAACTCAGAGAGGTCCACCAGCCCCTGCCTCCCTGAGTACTGGGATTACAGGTGTGTGCCACTGCTCCCAGCTCATGGTGATTTTATCAGCATCTTAGTTTATCTAAATATAGCCTGTGTTGTTAACACCATGATGTACTTGCCTAGCAATATACATTTCTCACCATATCCTCATCACTGACATGTGATTTTGTATGTGTGTGTGTAGTGGTAGCAAGCCATTAATGGTATAATGGACAAAGTACAGATCACTCATTTGTATTTTTTTATACACTAACTTTTTTTCCGTAGATGTTGGAATTTATGTCTTGACTAGGAACAATTGATCTCTGATCATTCACCTGATGTCACTTGATCTGATGCTTATAATTAGAGCTTAAATCTACATTTCTGTCATAGAAATGAGTAAAAGAATGTTCACCATTCTAAAATCATAAACTCTGCATTAATCTTACATTTAAAAGCCAAGACATTCTTCAAATGAGGGACATCTGGGTTGTTTCCATCTTCTGGCTATTACAAATAAGGCTGCTACATACATGGTTGAGCAAATGTCCTTGTTGTATACTTGAGCATCTTTTGGATATATGCCTGGGAGTGGTATGGCTGGATCTTGAGGTAGCACTATTTCAGACTGTCTGAGAAAGTGCCAGATTGATTTCCAAAGTGGTTGTACAAGTTTACATTCCCACCAGCAATTGAGGAGGGTTCCCTTTTCTCCACATCCTCTCCAGCATGTGTTGTCAATTGAGTTTTCGATCTTAGCCATTCTGATGGGTGTAAGGTGAAATCTCAGGGTTGTTTTGATTTGCATTTCCCTGGTAGCTAAGGATGTTGAACATTTCTTTTAAGTGTTTTTCTGCCTTTCGATATTCCTCTATTGAGAATTCTCTGTTTAGCTCTCAGAAGTTGTGGTACATTTACACAATGAAATACTACTTAGCAACTAAAAACAAGGAAATCATGAAATTTGCATGCAAATGGTGGGAACTAGAAAAGATCATTCTGAGTGAGGTATATCAGAAGCAGAAAGACATACATGGTGTGTATATATATATATTCACTTATGAGTGGATATTAGACATATAATGTAGGATAATCATACTAAAATCTGTACACCTAAAGAAGCTAAGCAAGGAGGACGACCCTGGGTAAGATGATCAATCCTCGTTCAGAAAGGCAAACAGGATGGACATCAGAAGAGGGAGAAAACAGGGAACAGAACAGGAGCCTACTACAGAGGGCTTCTGAAAGACTACCCTGCAGGATATCAAAGCAGATGCTGAGACTCACAGCCAAACTTTGGGCAGAGTGCAGGAAATCTTATGAAAGAAGGGAGAGATAGAAAGACTTGGAGGGGACAGGAACTCCACAAAGAGAGAGAGAGAGAGAAAAAAAATCTGGGCACAGGGATCTTTTCTGAGACTGATACTCCAACCAAGTACCATTCATGGAGATAACCTCTGCACAGATGTAGCCCATGGAGCTCAGTGTCCAAGTGGGTTCACTAGTAATGGGAGCAGGGACTATCTCTGACATGAACTCACTGGCTGGCTCTTTAATTACCTCCCCCGAGGGGGGAGCAACTTTACAAGCCCACAGAGGAAGACAATGCAGCCAGTCCTGATGAGACCTGATAGGCCAGGATCAGATGGAAGGGGATCATATGCAATAACATACTTTAATCAGAGCATCAGACAGTTACTCTGAGAGTTAAGAAAGGTCATGAGTAAAGTTTTCATGAGTTTACGCTGTATACAACCACAAGGACAAGCTTCACATGGCTAAAACATGTTTTTCCATGGAGGCTGTCAAGGTGAACACCACTGTTGGTAGGACTGTCTTATGGTTGGTTATCATGCTATGCTGGTCACCATGGTTCATGGGCCTTAGAGCTAGTTAAGACTGTTGGTTGTTTCTCTCCCTTGGAAGTTCGCCTAGATAGCATCTGCCAGTGCTAAGAAAGCCCTCTCAGGGACCTCCCCTATCAGTGGACTTGGGGAGCGGCATGCATGCAGAAAGGGGGGGAGGGTGGGAATGGGAGGGGAGGAAGGAGGGGCTTATGGGGGGATACAAAATGAATAAAGTGTAATTAATAAAAGTTAAATAAAAAATTTAAAAAAATAAGGTTCATGTGAAAAACTGGATAAGTTTTACCCCAACAAACAATGGAAAAGATTAAAAAAAAAAAAAAAAAAAAAGAAAGCCCTCTCAGGGAGACAGCTTTCAAGTCAGATCCGGCTCATTTCTTCCTGGTGTTGTGCCTGAAGTGCATTGGTATCTTCAGCAATAGGGACTTGACCTTCAGTCTCTGTAAGGCAACCAAGCACAAGACCAATAACATATATTGTTTGGAGAGTCTCTTGGATCCCCCTGACCAATAACTCAAAAAGGGGATTCTCATGTCTGGTATTAGAGCTTTTGTTGGATAATCAATCTGTGGCTTTTGTGGAGGAGCATAGTTGGTCCAAGTGGTAAAATGTATTTAAAATTTTTGTCTCAGTGTTGAAGATCAGATTTAGATTCGCACATATTTGAGTTCTCAGATAGATTTTTTAAAAAGACTTTTTAATTTGTGTCTCTCTTGCTTGTACTTATGTGCAATGCCCACTGAGCCCAAGACAAAGCATTGTATCCTCCTGAACTGGGTGTACAGATGGTGGTGAGTTGCCATGTAGGTGCTGGGAATAGAACCTATGTTCCCTGGAAGAAGAGCTATTGCTGTTAACTGTTGAAGCATCTCTCCAGCTCCAGGATTGTTTGTTTGTTTTAATTTTTATTATTTGAATGTACACAGATAAAATTGGCCTTTGGATTTCTTTGTGCTTGTTTTGTGCAGTTCACTTTTAAAATATATTTGTATCAGTCACTTCTCATTACTGTGACACAATACCAGATAGAAGCAGTGCTAGGATCATGGCTTCAGATAGTTCAGTCCTTTGCTCTATTGCTTCTGGGCCTGTGGAGACACAAGGAGCGCTGAGAGAAGACTGTTCCCCGCATGTGTACAGGAGGGAGTGGAGGGATTGGGAATCCGATGTGATCTTTAAGACATTTATCCACTGACCTATTACTGTAAATAACCCTTACCCCCGAAAATTTCTAAAACCTGCAGAAATAGTGCTGCCAACTAAGCCTTTAGGGGACATTTTACATTCAGATCACGAGTATCTTCTGAAAACTTTGTTGAAGTTTTCAATTCGTCTATATTAGATCATACATGCTTTGTATGTATCAATGAGAGAGGACTTTTCCTCAGAAACAGTTTGCATCTGTTCAAGGAAAACCCCAAAAAATGTTTCTTAATAGCTTAAGAAGGCGTTAAGCAGAGATGGTTGTAATTCTTCCAGAAATTGTGATTCTGTAGGTCGAGAGATACAGAGCTCCTTGTTCTGTAGAAAGTGTAATGTTGGGTTCATGGTCAAGACCTAAGAACACAGAGTACTTCGCTTTGATAGAAAAGTTGTTGATTATTAAAAGCAGAAACAATTGGGCATGCCAATTAAAATTAAAAGGGCCTATATAACATTTAGTGTATCTAATACATGAAATGCGTATGTATGCATTTTATATATACACTACATTGTGCACACAAAAATTCCTTATGAATTTAGAAAGCAAATATGAGCTTGAAGGATTACAAACAAAAATCCCATTCAGTTAGACTTTAAAGGAGATGTAATGGTCTCAGTATATTAAACTTCAAATTCAATTTTGTCTTTCCCAGTTGGAGTCATTCGATGTCCAGTTTGCAGTCAAGAATGTGCTGAGAGACACATCATAGACAACTTTTTTGTGAAGGATACCACTGAAGTTCCCAGTAGTACAGTAGAAAAGTCTAATCAGGTAAGTATGAATTTAAGCCTTTACCACCTGTGATGAAGCAGCTTAAATGCTGAAGGAGTCTATGTAAAAGCCAGACTTTAGAGCATTAATATACAGATCATTTTGAAGTGTATGAATGATAGTGAATAGTTGAGCTTAGGAATAAAACAGAGCCAGTGTAGAAGCCTCTGATTTTATCATTGTATTTCTATATGCTAGAGAGAAACATTATGCTATATTTAGTATTATGTAATTTTAATTTCTCCGTACTAGTCACTGGGTATTGAAATTGTTACATTAGTCTCTAAAATCCCTCCCTACCCTCAGTTTTTGGAGAAGGGTGTCTCTGTGTAACAAGGGTCCTGGCTATACTGGACTCACTTTGTAGACCAGGATGGCCTTGAATTCAGAGATTTACCTGCCTCTGCCTCCCCAGTGCTGGGATCAAAGGCATGAGCCACCACACCTGGCTAATCTCTTTTCTGGTAAACATACTTACTATGTGTGTGCAGTGCCTTTGGAAGCCAAAAGAGGGCATTGTAGCCCCTAGAGCTGCTGTTAAAGACATTAGTGAACCACATAAGGGTGTTGAGAACCTAACCCAGGTCCTTTGCAAGAGCTGCATGTGTGCTTTTAACCAGTGAGCCATCTCTCGATGCTAGCCTCCCTTGGTAAACTATGTAATTGTTCAAATGAAATACATTGTTTTTTCTTCAGTAAGATTTCTACATTTTAAAGATTATTTTTAGTGTGTGCATGTATCTGTACACTTGATGGCTATAATAATAATAAGATCAGGATATCTTGCTGAAATTGGTTTTCTTCTGTTTTTATGTATTCTGGGAATCATCTTAGGTCATGGGGCTTGCATTGTCAGAAAGAAACAGCTTTTATATGCTGAACTATCGCTCACACCAGAGTTTAGATGTTTAAGAAAGTCTTATTATGTTCATGGTGCCGCTCTGAAAGCTTTATTTAATAGCGTTGTCCAAGGTGCTGAATTTAGATGTACAATACTATCTTTTTTTTTTTGTCACTCTTAAATCTAAATGTAGATACTTTACCCCTAGGGAGAATCTGTGGTATTCCATTACCCTGCTTAGTTGAATTCTTTTGCATGTGCCAAGTAAAGTAAATTTGTGTGCATAAGAGTTTTGGCTCATTGATATTTTCCAGGTAGCTCCGTTCTTTTGTAACAGAAGATCTAGGAAAGACCTAAATTCAGTTAGAAAAGAAAAAAATATATATTTTTTTTTATATATATTTTATATATATAAAAGAATTTATATGTGTGAGTAGTTTCTGTGCTTTTTTTTTCTTCTTTTATTTTCAGGTTTTTGTTTCTGAGGTGTACCTACAGGAATTTAGGGCTCACTTTACTTGTAAAAAAACATGGTTGATACTAATTAAAATTCTGTTGTTTCAACAGTATCCACATTGTTCCCCAAAGGCCAAATTGGGGTTACTGCAGGGAATAAACTATCTCCTTGTGAAACCAGCTTTAAATAATGGAATTGGCTATGGGTTTACCTCAAGTGTAGTGTGTGGCATGGAGACCCTGGGCTCATTGGCCTGTTTAGGGGTCTAAGTTAGAGAAACTGATTCTGGAGACTGCAATATGAATTGGTCATTTTTCTAGGCTTGTCAGGGCACTTATTTCCTGCCTTGCTGCTTTTTTTTTGTTTATTTGTTTGCTTTTGTTTTGTTGTTTGTTTGTTTTGTTGTTTCAATAAGCTCTTACCATGTAGCCTAGGGTGGTCTTGAACTCACTGTCCTCTTGCTTTCCTCCCAGGATGACAGGTATTACCCATCTCACTCCTGTTTTCCATGTTATTTTGTTTCATTTACCAGAGATCTGGAGCAGTGCATATTAGACATCCTTCCTTCCTTTTTGTAGCATACAGTGGAAGATTAGAAATTTAGGTGTCATTCTTATAGGCTTGGTAGTTGAACTTAAGGATGTCCCTAGATGTAGCAAAAACCTACATAGTCAGAAGGAGACAAGTGGCAGGTAGGATCCAGACTGGCATAGAGAAAGCAAAGAAAGAGGAGTGGTGGATACAAGTGATTACTAGCACTGGCAAGCTCTTATCAACAGTGTGAGGAAGAGGGTAACCCCCAAAAAAAGACAGATTTTTGGTTCCTGGAAATACTAGATTTTTGGAAATCCAGCAACTTCTGAATTACATTAATTTTTGTTTCCAACTATAAAGATACTTAAGAGTATTGCCATTGTCTACATCATTACACCAGCTACATTACGTATGTACTAGGTACTCTTCCTTCTTTACCCCCATGCCCAGTGAATTCTCCAAGTTTGCTTTACTTCCTAAATCTTCCATTCTATTCTCATCTTCACTTGTACTAACCCTCATACAAATTACCTTATGTAGAACTCTTTGCACTTTTCTAATCTGTTCTTTGCATTGCAGTAATATAAGTCTTCCTATGTCTTGCTTACTTAATCTTTTTCAGACAAAGACCACCATTGTCATGTGGCCTTATGTGATCTGACCATACCTGCCTTGACACCAGCTCCTTCACTTGCCAATCTTCCCCTTGGTTCCTCTGACTAGATGAAGGCTTTTCATCTAGTACCTTTCATAGCTTGTTGTTGATGAAGTCTCTTTTTTAAGAAAAGCGTTCTTCTATGTCTCCATCAGAAGTACTGACAACTTTTTGTATATTTTATTTATAGGCTCTTCTTAATACAGGTGTTCATTATAATATCTTTCCCATTTAATCTTAAGAACTCAGTAAAATATATATTACCCTCATTTTAATGATAAGTTCTGTATCCTGTTCAAGACCATTGTTGTAGTTAGAGTGTCTGTTTGCTTGGTAAAACACCGTGACCAACTTGGAAATGAAGGGGTTTACTTCAGCTTAAAAATCTATACCACACTTCATTATCAAAGGAGGTCATAGAAACTCAAGGTTGGAACTTGGAGGCAGGAACTGAATCAGAGGCCATGGAAGAGTGCTGCTTACTGGCTTGCTCCCCGTGGTTTGCTCGGCCTGATTATATAACCCCAAACACCTACCCAGAGATTTCATTGCCTGTGGTGAGTTGGGCCCTCCCACATTAATCCTTAACACCTGTCTACAGGCCAATTCTTTTCTCTCTCGAGCGCACTCTCTTTTTTTCTACCTCACCTGCATGGCCAAAACAATAGAAAACCCTAACTACAACATCGGTCTTGAATAGGATACAGAACTCATCATTACAATGAGGAAAATGGGGGCTGGAGAGATGGCTCAGTGGTTAAGAGCATTGGCTGTTCTTCCAAAGGTCCTAAGTTCAATTCTCAGCAACCACATGGTGGCTCACAACCATCTATTATGAGATCTGGTGCGCAGACACATGTGTAGGCAGAATGCTGTATAATTAATAGATAAGTAAATCTAAAAAAAATTTAAAAAAACAATGAGGATAACGATTCATATTTTACTGAATTCTTAAGATTAAATGGGAAAAGACATATTATTGTTATGATTACTTTTATTAAGAGCCAATAAAGGAAATATATAAAAATGTAACATGTGTGTGCAGGCCAGAAGAGACCTGGATTCCCCAGAACACAGACAGCCCTAAATTTGCCATGTGGGTGCCAGGAACTGAACCCAGGTCCTCTGGAGAGCAGCCAGCATTCTCAACCACAGAACTATCTCTCCAGCCCCTTTATAGCCAAATCTTATGGAAGCATTTTCTCAATTAAGATTTCTTCCCAGGCTCGAGAGATGGCTTAGTGGTTAAGAGCACTGATTGCTCTTCCAGAAGACTTGGGTTCAGTTTCTAGTATCTACATGCTGGCTCATAACTGTTTGTAACTCTAGGTTCAGAGGATCAAACATCCTCTTCTAGATCCATAGGCACTGCATGCATGCACAGATATACTTGCAAATAACCATACACATAAAAATAAAATAACTTAAAAAATATTTCTCCTCAGATGTGTCTAGATTTCTATCAAGTTGACAAAAACCATCTAGCACAACCATTTAGCTAATTAGTGGGATAACTTGAGTTTGCACTTATAACATCCATTTAAGAGGATTGTAAGCACCATAAGGGCTATGTTTACTTTTCCTTATAATTGTATGCTCAGTACCTAGCCTAATGTTTGGAATGACTAGTGTATTGAACTTTGAAGAAACATGTATTTAAAAAAATATTTTAGTCTTTATTTTTACTTTATAAGAGTAATACCGAAAGCATGCCTGGTGTTTTCAGAGGCCAGAAGAGAGCATTGAATCACTGTGCTTGGGGTTACAAGTGGCTATGAGGTGCCATTTGGGTGCCAGAACCTGAACCCAAGAGTTCTTTATGAGAGCAGTAACTGCTGAGCCATTTCTCCAATTCCTATCTGTTTAAAGAATTAATTTATTTTTGTTGTATTATTTATTTTTATTTTGTATATATGAATGTTTGTCTCTATGAATATATATGCACCATGTATATATGCCTGGTGCTCACGGAAGCCAGAAGAAGATGTCAGATCTCCTGAAACTGGAGTAACAGATAGTTGTAAGTGGCCATGTGGGTGCTGGGAACCAAACACAGATCATCTGTAAGAATGTAAGAACAGCATATGCTCTTAACACTAAAGCCATCTCTCTAATGGCTTGAAATGATTCTTACATATATCATTTCCCTAGTGCCTGCAATGTCTAGTATATTCCTATAAAGAGAAAATGTGTTTAAATAATCTTTGTCTAATCTGATGTTGCAAAATTTTTATCCTAGAAGCAGAGACAGTTGGGTGTCTTATGAGTTGAAGGCCAGCCTGGTCTAGTAAGTCTCAAGCTAGCCAGGGCTACAGTGAGACCTGTCTAAAAATTTAGTTCTTATGAATAATGGCTTAATTTTATATGCATAAAAATCATACTATTAATTTAAACTTAGAATAAGAAAACTGATAGTCCATTTGGTTGGTAGTTCATTCTTTTAATTTATTTTTAACAGTTTGTGTGACCAGATTCTTTTATTGTTAGATATGTACAAGCTGTGAAGACAATGCAGAAGCTAATGGGTTTTGTGTGGAATGTGTCGAATGGCTCTGCAAGACATGTATTAGAGCTCACCAGAGGGTGAAGTTCACAAAAGACCACACAGTCAGACAGAAAGAAGAAGTATCTCCAGGTAATGAATCAGGTTTTTTGCACTTCTCTCTCTGCAACTGTATTTTTACATTTCCTATACTGACATTATTTTGAGACAGTGATGAACATTATATGCACTTTAAAATATACTTTTTGATACAAAAAAGTCAACATTCTAATTGAAATTATGCTTAGAGTGTTGATTAGTATGAATTATGTATTGACTCTTGCCTTAATTCATATTCCCACCGCTCCTGCTTCTGTAAGTTGAATTTGGTATGATCAAATGGGAAACAAAACAAGCAAGCAAACAAAGAATCTTTGCTTTTGTTAATCCCACCTAAGAAGAGTGAAGACCATTATTAAAATTCTTTGGTCAAATTATACAAGCTTTATTTTCTGTCAGACAGGACTATCTTCCTAAAGGGGAGTTTGAACACAGGAGAAGGTGGGGTTGACATAGCCCCCCCCAAAACTGCAAGACTAGAGTGTTCTCATGGGTTAGGAGATTTCTAAAGGAATTTTGGTTTTGTTAGGAACTTGGCTGAATATTTCAAAACTATTTGACAGAATGACTTATCAGGATATGTTTAAGGTGTAAGTCAAACTCCATAGGATGAAAAGCATATCAAATTTCAGAAACAGGTTAAAGCATGGCCAAGTTGAATTTTGCAGCAGACAGAAATGAACTTGTTCTGACCTTATAACAAAATGTCTTCCATCCTTAAAATGGAGTCAGGCTGGACCATCATAAAAAGTGCTCTTAGCCAATGAGCTAGCTCTCCAGCCACACTTAACATAATGTTTTAAGAGTTCATTGTTCTGTATAAGACTTACTTTCCTACTGTTTGTCCTTGAATCAACCAGTATATGTGCCTCCTTTATATTTTAAATTTTGCTAAATACTAAAAATGAAAATGACAGATGCCTTCTATACTATAGGAGCATATAATTAAGAATGTAAAGCCAGGCTTGGTGCCACATGCCTGTAATCCCAGCACACTGGGAGGCAGGTGGTTCTCTGTGAGACTAGCTTGGTCTACAAAGTGAGTCCAGGATAGTTAGGACTACACAAAGAAACCCTGTCTTAAAAAACAAAACAAAACAAAAACACAGAATATAAGCAAATAAATAATTATAAATACCATAGTTAGGCTACTAAATTCTGTTGGAATACTTAAAAAAAGTACCAACCTCTGATTTGGAGATTTAAGTTGGAGGTCAAATAATTCTAGTTGAAAAAGCTCCAACTATAGAAACTAAAACTTGAAGAAATGGTAGTGTCAAGGTTACATTTTAAGTATAGACCATAAAACTTCCTCCATCAGGTCTTGGCAGTCTAAGTGTTGGTATAGAAAATTGCACATATAAAGGGTTGGGTTAGTTGGGCAGGTATTATAGAAGTGGAACAGCATAAGAGATTCACATAGTACTGTTTTGGATTTTGACTGGATAAAGGAAGTACAAATTGTTTGTATTGGCTGTAATTGATAAGGGGTTAGTAATATAGCCAGCCACTTAGTTTACTACAGTAATATAGAAAACTATACTATGGTAATAGAGTAAACCAAGAAGGTTAGAAAGTAAGAGTGATTAAAGTGGGAGTGCTGAATTGGTAATAACAGAACTAGAACATTTATGAGCAACTAAAATTTTTTGGTGTGGCTATGGATGAGTAGTTAAAATGAAACAAAGTTCTCTGGCTTGTCTTACAAAGTAATTTGAACTGTCAGCATGAGGAAGGTTTGGTAGCATGTGCCTATTGTCCCCGACTTGGGAGGAAGAAGTAGTAGAGTGGATCAGTCCAGTTGTCTAGGCTACAGCCTTTCTTAATCCAGTCTCCTCAAGTGATTGGCTCAACAACTGTAGACTAAACCTTCAAAACTTTTGGTTTGGGGGAGGGGGAGGAAACATTTCATTCACATCCAAACTAACAGCTACCAAAATTTTCTATGGTTGTTTTGTTTTGTTTTTATTTTGAGTTTTAAATATTTTTACCATTTTCTTTTTTACCTAAGTGCTAAGTTTGGTTTTATTTTTATCTATAGAAATAGTTCATTGGGTATATTTACTCTATACTTATATTATTACGTTTTAAGTTCATCAATCGTGTGTTTCTTTTCAATTACCTTAATTTTATTTTAAATTTCTGTTACTAGAGATGGGTGTGTGACCCATCCTTCGGGCTAGTCGAACAGGGTCCACCTGAAAGAGGGAGTGGAAATGGGGGGACAGAGACACAAAGAATAGAGACAAGACAGATTCCTGATCAAGTCTCAGTTTACTCAACGTGCAAACAACACTTATAAAGCAAAGGGTACAAGCAAATTTTTGTTTTCCAGTAGCAACACATCTGCGCCTGCTGGCAAGGCATCCAAGAATTCACTCAAGGTTACACAAAGTCTGCTGTCTGGTTCCCAAGGTTGCAGGGAGCTTGCTATCTACTTCTCAGGCTCAGAGTGCCCCGCCTGCAGAGACTGCCAAGGACAGTCTCTGAGAAATGGAGTTTAGATAAGACCTGCATCTGCCAAGGCCAGGAGACAGCATTTCAATTACCAGACTCCTTCAGGTGTGGTAATCCAAACCTTTGATCCCAGCACTAAGGAGGCAGAAGCAGATCGATCTCTGGGAGTTTGAGGCCAGCCTAGCCTACATAGCAAGTTCTATGACAGCCTGAACTGCATTATTGAGAAAGATCTATTTCAAAAACAAAAACTTTTTTTTTATTACTAGTACAGATGAGCTATATACTTGATGTGTGCTTTAGGGCAAATGTTTAAAGTTTGAATTATAATCTATCACTGTTTCAGTTAACTTTAAGATATTCTGTACTTGAAGAGTTTTGGGCTTTTGCTTTTATTTGCTTTTTACTTTGGCAGTTCTGTGAGTGACTATGATGTATCATTAAATGTAAGTTGCTGTACAGTGTGATTATTATAAACCCAAGAATTGATTGTAGCAAAGGATCATCTCGAGCTTCTGTTCCTCCTGCCTTCACTTCTCAGGTGCTGGAGTCACAGGCCTGTGCCAGCATGCCCTATTTACAAGGTGATGAGGATTGAACCCAGGGTTTCATGTGTGCTAGGTATATGCTGTACCAACAGAGCTATATCCCCAGCCCCTGCAGGAATTCTTTAAAAGAAAAAAGGAATTTTTTTCCAGTTCTTTGCTTTTACTACTTTTTATTGTCAAGTTATCATTGACTCATGGTAAGATAATATAACTCTATTAACTCAGTTTTCTTTTCTGGTTACTTCTAAGGTTTTTCTAAGAATTTAAAATCATATAAATATTGTAGTTGTCTCCAGGGCGGCCTCAAACTCAAAAACTTGCCTGCCTTCCTCCCCAGGGCATGTGTCACCACTGCCCAGCAACAAACATAATTAGAAAGAGAGAGAGAGATGGAGAGAGGGAAGGAGGGAATAAAAATTTGTTTATTGTGAATGTATAAGTTCCTGCTTTTGTGTGTCCCTGCATGTTCCACACCCATGCGAAAGTCAGAAGAGAATGTCTAAACTAGAATTAGAGTCCAGGTGGTTTTGAACCACCTCATGTGGGTACTGGGAACCCAGCTGATGAGGTCCTTTGGAAGAGCAGCAAGTGCTCTTGATACTGAGCCGTCTCTCCAACCTCTGCAAAGGACAAAATAGTCCAAAAAATAATACAAATTGACAGATGGGATTTCTTGAAACTAAAAGGTTTCTGTTGAGCAAAGTAAACATAAAAGTAAAAAGGCTATAGCTATTAATCTGACAGAATTTAAGACCTAGAATATATATATGAAAATATATACATGTTTGTATATATAGAAAGAATGAGCTGAGAGGTAGCTCAGTAAAATACTTGCTTACAAGTGTGAGGCCCTGAATTTAGACACTAATATCTACATTTAAAAAGCCTAGCTTGATGACTCTTGCTTGTAATCTGAGTGATGGAGCATCAGGGTGTGGGGGACACAGACACATGCTCATTCCCGAGGCTTACTGGCCAGACAGCCTAGCTTACTAGACAGCTCTAGGTTCTAATGAGAGTCTCCATCTCAAATAGGTGGCTCCTGAGGACTGACACCTGAGGTTTATCTCCTGGTTATATACTCCTTTTCACACACATATATATGTACTGTACGTATGTGTACCCAAAGACACATGAGCACACATAAAAAAGCTTAGAATATAGGCACTAAAATAATTAGACTTTAATACTCTTCTGGCAGAGGCCCTTCGGAGAAGGCTGTGGCAGGCAAGGGAGCTTCCTGGAAGTGGCCCATCATTTTCTTTTGCACAACTGATGATGGGTATGCCCTGAAGAAGTATGGACCCCTGGGGATTTTGTCTCCAGATTGCTTCTTGGTGCTGATATGCCTTTTCGTGTTTGTCATTGCTGTGTCCTTCATATATATGGCATAGCAGAGAGACCCTCACTGCCTCTTGTTTCCTGAGTATTTACCCACTCTTTTGGGCAGATTCCTTATAGTATCAATATAAAGATGTACTTTCATGAAATAATGCTGTTTAGATGATTAGCTGATTTTGCAATTCCTGATATTGATCTTATAGAATTCTTGATTTGATTCAAGTAACTTTAACCCTACCCCCCATAGAATAGCAAAGGGTGCATAAGGGAATTCTGTGAACCTTCGTATGTCACAAGCACATACATTGTGCTAGGAAAAAGAACAGGCTTGAGGCAAATTTACAATCTAGGAAAACATTTATGCTAGGTTCGGTACAGAGATGAGATCACAGATCTCAGTATGTACCATGATAACTAATTTAAGCTATGTAAGGCCTTAAAAATAAGGTATTACCTGTTTCTTGGTAAAACCTTGCTAACCTATGAAATAAAAAAACTATTTCTCCGAACTTATAATGAACTTATAGAATAAAGGACAGATAAAAATGTTACTTTGATCTTATAATGAACTTGTGGAGCTAAGAGAGATAGATAAAGAATGTGTAGTTGGGTGTAAACCTTAATGGAAACACATGTAAACAATTATCATGTAAATCCTTAAGCCATGCTAACCTTAAACCTTGTTAACCTATGACATGAAGAACTATGGCTTTGAACTTATAATGAACTTGTATATGAAGTAATAGATAAGAAAAGCAGGGTATCGAAGGAGATACTGAGACTCATAGCCAAACTTTGGACAGAGTGCAGGGAATCTTATGAAAGAAGGGAGAGATGAAAGACCTGGAGAGGACAGGAGATCTACAAGGAGAGTGATGGAACCAAAAAATCTGGGCCCCGGAGTCTTTTCTGAGACTGATACTCCAACCAAGGACCATTCATTTAGATAACTTAGAACCCCTGCACAAATGTAGCCCATAGCAGCCCAGTCCCCAAGTGAGTACCCTAGTAAGGGAACAGAGGCTGTCTCTGACATGAACTCAGTGGCTGGCTCTTTGATCATTTCCCTCTGAGGGAGGAGCAGCCTTCCCAGGCCACAGAGCTAGACAGTACAGCCAGTCCTGATGAGACCTGATAGGCTAGGGTCAGATGGACTGTATCAGTGGACTGGGGGAGGGACATGGAAGGAGAAGGGGGAGGAAGGGAGGGCAGGATTGAGAGGGGACAAGCGAGGGGCTACAGCTGGGATACAAAGTGAATAAACTGTAAAAAATTTAAAAAATAAAAACATTTAAAAAGAAATGTTTAGTTAAACATGAGTAATCAATAATCTTGCTGTATTTCCCTCCATGTAATGACTGTCTGTTTCTGTGATAATTGCTTTTATAGCTGTGCAGTAATTTATCTTCTGACGTAGAAAGTTTTGCTGTAAAAGGTATAAAGAAACCAAGAAATAATAAAGAGTTGTTGGAGCCTGCCTTTGCTTCATCCACCAAGTATATGTGTGTGAATGTGTTTTCCCACCTTTCTTTCTCTATTGGCAGCCTAAGCCAGAAGCCATCAGCCCTGGCTCCCTCCCCTTTTATTTTCCCTTTATGATCAGCGCTAGGAGCTACCAGCTCCAGCCATTAAACAGTTGAAGAGAGTTTCGAGCTTTTTGCCAGTCACAAACACTGCTGGCCCTGAGATGCCAGGAGCTACCAGCTTTTTGGCTTCTTTTGCTGACTCTACATTCCATCTCAGTTTATGTTGCCGTCAACACTGGCCTTTGATACTCTTCCTCATATATAATCTAGTCAATCAAAGAAGTACAAATGGACAGTAAATATATAAGAAAATGATCAGTAGCCTAAGCTATCAGGAAAATGCAAATGAAACCATGTTTGTATTTTATCTTCTTGGAGTCAGAATAGCTATAATTTAAAAGAATAAGACAAAGATGTAGAGAATTAAGAAACTTATACTATTAATAGTATAAATTTGTTCAGTCTCCTCACAAAACTAAAAATACCTTGGGGTGTAGCTCAGTGGTAAAATATTTGTTTAGTTTATATAAAGTCCTAGGTTTGATTCCTAGTCCTGGCAGGGGGAAATTAAACTAAAAATACAGCTATCTTATAAAGAAGAAATATGTAAGTATACAGCAGACATGCATATTCAACTATGGCTCTATTCATGAGAGTCAGTTTACGGAACCAACCCAAGCAAGTCCACAGCTTTTTAAGAAAATTATTATGTATATGGGTGATATTTTGCCTAATGTATGTGCAGACCATTAAGAGGACATCAAACTCCTGGAGCTGGAGTTACAGAGGGTTCTGCACTGCATGTGGGTGCTGGGATGGAACCCAGTTGTTTTGGAAGCCCTTTACTGTTAAGGTACCTTTCCAGCCCTAATCCATACTTTTTGATCCTCCTGTCTCATTTGGGATAGAAAGCAGTTAGTTAGTTAGTTAGTTAGTTAGTTAGTTAGTTAGTTAGTTAGTT